ATTCGGGGTGTGTAATGAAGTACATACGACAGCCCAACCATCGATGTATAAACCCTTATTACCACAAGCACCTGCGAGCCATCACCGAGGCATCTGCCAAGACAAAAACCTTACCAGATGCATGGTGGCATTCGCCAAGACAAAAACCTTACCAAAAGAACAGTGGCATTTGCCAAGAACCTTACCACAAGCACTCTGCGAACTATCATCGCGGCATTTGCCAAGACCAGAACCTTACCACAGGCAACCTTCCGCGAGCCATTGCGGCGACCTTTTCCAAGAAAAAACCTTACCACAAGAATCCGCGAGCCATTTCGGCGGCATTTGCCAAGACAAAAACCTTACCAGAAGCACCTGCGAACCATCACCGCGGCATTCGCCAAGTCAAAAACCTTACCAGAAGAACCCACAAACCATGTGATTGCTCGCGGAAGCTTGCATGTGGTGAGGTTTTTGTCTTGGCAATTTCCGTGGTGATGGCTTGCAGGCGCTTCTCGCAAGGTTTTTGTCTTGGCAAACGCTGCGGTGATGGCTTGGAGGTGCTTCTGGTAAGGTTTTTGTCTTGGCAAATGCCGCGGTCATTGCTCACAGTGTCTTGAAATGATAAAGGCATTGGTGATGGCTTGAAGGTGCTTCTGGTAAGGTTTTTGTCTTGGCAAATGTCGCCGTAATTGCTCGCGGAAGTTTGCATGCGGTAAGGTTATGTCTTGGCAAATGCCGCGATGGGCGACATTTGCCAAGACAAAAGCCTTACCACAAGCACCTGCGAGCCATCACCGAGGCATCTGCCAATACAAACACCTTCCCAGAAGCACAGTGGCATTTGCCAAGACACAAACCTTTAGGGACCAAAAAAAGCACATAAGCACAAATTAGGATATGGATATCCCATATAAGCCGCTTTATGATGAAGCCCAATAAGGTAGGGATATCCCTATACGATGCTTCTGCTTATGTGCTTTTGGGTCTCTAAACCTTACCACAAGCACCTGCGAGCCATCACCGCGGCATTTGCCAAGACAAAAACCTTACCACACGCAAGCTTCCGCGAGCAAGTACGGCGACATTTGCCAAGACAAAAACCTTACCAGAAGCACCTGCGAGCCATCACCGCGGCATTTGCCAAGACAAAAACCTTACCACATGCAAGCTTGCGCGAGCCATTACGGCAACATTTGCCAAGACCAAAACCAAAACCTTACCGCAAGAACCTGCGAACCATCACCGCGGCATTTGCCAAGACAAAAACCTTACCACACGTAAGCTTCCGCAAGCAATTACGGCGACGTTTGCCAAGGCAAAAAACTTACCAGAAGCACCTGCGAGCCATCACCGCTGCATTTTTCAAGAAACTATGAGCAATGACCGCGGCATTTGCAAAGACAAAAACCTTACCGGAAGCACCTCCAAGCCATCACCGCGACATTTGCCAAGACACAAACCTTACCAGACGCGCCCGCGAGCCATCACCGCGGAAATTGCCAAGACAAAAACCTTGCCAGAAGCACCTGTGAACCATCACTGCGGCATGTGCCAAGACAAAAGCCTTACCAGAAGCACCTGCGGGCCATCACCGCGGCATTCGCCAAGACAAAAACCTTACCAGAAGCACCTGCGAGCCGTCACTGCGCATTAGCAAAGACACTGCGAGCCATCACCGCGGCATTTGTCAAGACAAAAACCTTACCAGAAGCACCTGCGAGCCATCACCGCTGCATTTGCCGGCATGACTTTGCCGAGTCGCTGTTAGGTCTCTAACTAAAGCACTCAACACAAGTCGGATGTGCATGTAGAAGCCAGCACCCACACTGGATACTTCATGTACTCCCATACACAAGTCTAAACAAAATACGGACCCGCCCTCAATAGCAGAATTAAGGACATATGGTAGGTACTCGACGGCATGCTGTGGCTGTGAATGACTGTCTAGTCGGCTCAGATGTGTGTATATCTATATGTATATATATATATATGTATGATAGCCCCCCCCCGAGGACCAACTTTGAATTGCCTAAATTCCTTAATTCCCGACACCATGTGTTGGATTTAGGGAATTGCCTGATTCCCTAAATTGCCCAAATTCCCTAAATCCCGGCCCCATGTGTTGGATTTAAGGAATTCCTTAAATTCCCTAAATTCCCTAAATCCCAGCCCCATGTGTTGGATTTAGGGAATTCCCTGATTCCCTAAACTCCTTAAATTCCCTAAATTCCCTAAATTCCCTAAATTCTCTAAATTCCCTAAATTCCCTAAATTCCTTAAATTCCTTAAATTCCCTAAGAAGAACTCACGCGTTCTGTAAACTCAATGCAAGGAGGCAGTGATTAAGAAATTCAAGGACCTCGACGGCGCGACATCGCCGTTTTGAAAAAAAACTGGGCATGCTTCATTGCTTTCATATTAGGATGTTGGTTAAATGCTCCGGATATTGCTTGTGTTTAACATTTTTTGTTTCTAGTTCTGTTCATATACTGTTTTGCTCAGAGGCATAACCCAAAGACGGGACCAATACAGAAAGACGTGTGCATCCTAGATCAGTTCGTAATAAGGTTGCATGTGTGCACATGTTCATTATTCATGAAGCTCTTAGGTCACTCATGCGCCAGTGAATACGCATGACTCATACTAGTGCCAAAACGAGGTAATACCAAGATGTCTATCCCTACGAATAAAGGCACATTCATAGTCAGTTTAGTCTTGTTCGTAATACTCGTATTTAAAATGATATGGATATTTATACGAATTTTGATACTTTATATTAACATTATAGTACTCTTATGAGTATGAAGACTCATCGTAATTCTAATGGTGAAACTGATAAAATAATAGTATGAATATTAATGTTCGCAACAATACTGATAATCATGTTCATGTTAAGAACAATACTAAAATGCATAGCTAGTATGACTGTTCATGCTAATATTGTAATAATTTTTAATACTCCTACGGATAATGATATGCATATCCGTATTGACGACTCTCAATACTAACACTATTAATTCTCGAGTACTCAAATTCATCTTAATATTAGCACTAAGGCTAATGCGGGTGTTATAGTTAAAATACTAACATATTGGTGTTAGTGGTCGTACTGATATGAGCATCAGTACGTAGATCAGTATTCGTTTTCGCCAGTACGAACAGCAACCTGAAGATGCATACTCCTGCGAGTACAAAAACAGCTTTATTCATAGTAACTTTATTTCTAATATTAGTATCTGCTACTAGTATTTACAAATAATACCAATACTAATTTTGCATTGATATGATCATGAATCCTAATATTCTTACGACTATTAACTTGCATAGTAATATTAACACTAATATGAATACGAAGGATCCTACGAACACGAATAATCATATTCCTTTCTTCATATTCATTAGTATTAATACCATGATACATACTAATGCTAAAATTCCTACGGATACCAATGCTCATGTTCTTAATAGCTATTCTCAGTGCGAGTTACGACATTACTATTATGTTTATATCAATATTATTACTAAGATGACCACGAATACTTCGGCTTACACGCACATGCGTAATACTAGTAAAAATACTAGTGCTTATATCAAGATAGAAATATTATTACATATGCATATCAATGCCAATATCACTATTGATATTAATATCAACACGATTCATACATATACGATTACTACTCAATATACTGTTAGAAAAAAACACAAGACACTGTATGCATCAATATAGTACAGTATCAATATTTTCATATATATTGTTATAAAACATACTAATATACTGACTTACTAGCAGATCAATATGCTAAGGGACTCAATACTAACATACTAAAATATTCTATATACTATCATACTAATATACTAAGACTAATAGACTAATAGACTACTGGACTAATAGACTAATAGACTAATGGACTAATACACCAACAGACTAATAAACTAATATACCAATATACTCATATACCAAAAATATACGAATATACTAACGAACTAATTATACTTATATACTAACATTCCAATATAAGAATATAATCATTTATTGGTGCACAAACATACTGTTTTTCGAGTATTACCATACGAAATGTACATATATTAATACTGATTCAACTACTAAGACTAATTTCATGGCCAAGTCCAGGTCCAACACCAATACGAGTACTTTCACTTACTACCGACATATATTAAAACTGACGCACTAATACACATATTCATATGACAAACTAACACTGACATTGACACTGACACCAGCATTAACACTAACAGTAACATTAATCAAACGAACAGTAGTATTGAACAGATACCAGCAGTATTACTATTTTTTATTATTACTACTACTACTACTACTACTGCTACTAAAGTTAATACTGACACAAAACAAATACTAATACTAACACTAACAAAGATTTCGACAGATTACTATTCATCAGAATAGCAGTATTCAGATTCAAACTAAGATCAAGAATAAGTCAAGACCAATATTGATATCATTATTTTTTAAGATTGAAACTAAGAATGAGACTACGGCAAGATGAAGACCGCTAATGAGGTAGTTTCTGTGTGCGTCTACCCGAGCAGATGTTTATATGCAGCAGCGTGGGCTCTGAGATTAACATACAAGAAGAGAGAAGGGATTTATCATAAAACATAACATAATAGCACAATAAATAGAGACTGAAAAACTGAACCCTGTTTTTTCCAACTTCGACAAGACGCGCCGAGACGGCAAATAGTGTCCATGAACACCAAATCTATCGATATTTGCAGGGGTTTTGGCTCGAATCCGGAACGGCGCCAATACAGACACGAGCAATCACATGGCCGAGGTTGGTCCTGGGGGGGGGTGGTTACCATATATATATATATATATGCATGGCAATATGTGGTCCGAAGCTCCGGGACCCCAGAATATCTGCTTGACGAGACTCTAAGCCCTTAGCCCTTGACTAACTATGGTGATGGTGAGTTGATCTATTGGGTCATAGACTCTATGACATAGACCCTGCCTTCATCCGAGGATGGGCTCAGAGGCCATGCCCCATGGGCACACTGCGGCGGACCTTTCAATGGCTTCGGAGGGTGAAGAGGAGGAAGAGAGGGTTGCTTGTGTGTCTGATTTCCTGTGTGTGTTATTAAATTATGCTGCCTCCTGCAGAGGCTTGCGAAAGCGTGCCAAAGAAGCGAACTGCCACTCACCTGCAGGTTGAAGCTAAGATCCGGAAGGTAGGGCATGTATACGGCAGGAGAGGATGGATCAGAGGATGAAGAGATGGATGTAGAAGAATCAGAGCGAAGGTTCAGAGGAAGACGAGGCGGACGCCGAAGAGGAGAGCAAGCAAGCTTTGGAGGGAGCAGATGAAGCAGCACAGGAAACAAAGCAAAGTTCAAAGGAGGAGGACGAGGCAACCGGAGAGGAGAAGAACCCAGATTCGGAGAGGGAAGATGAAACAGCGGAGGAAACAGTTCGAAGTTCAGAGGAGGAGGACGAGGCAGCCGAAGAGTAGAGGAGCAAGGCTTCCGAGGACCAAGAAGAAGCCACAGACGCGACGCAAAGTTCAGAGGAGGAGGAGGAGGAGGAGGAGGAGGAGGAGGAGGAGGACGATCATTCCCCGAGAGCTCCGAGCCATTCTGAGGCCGAAGTTAGGAACAAGGAAAGACAAGTCTGCGGCTGGTAGGGTAGGGTCTATATATGTATACTTTTACATCTACAAAGGTAAATACATACACAAACAAAATAATGGAACGAACACGTACACATGTTTGTAGGTATGTGTGTGTGTATATATATATATACGAAGGTCTGCACATGTACCTCCGTGTGTCTATTCTCCAAGAGATTAATCAACTGAAGACGGAGTGCGGGTGTATGTTAAGAAAATGACTAATGAGTATCTCCCGAAGCCAAGACCTCCTCAGGAGGACAAAATGAAGCAATGAACCCATCAAACCTCTGTCCGAATTCAACATAGAGGTTCATGGGAATCGATTAACAGATTCCGCTCTGCAACAATCTTGTCCTCAATCTAGGTATTCATTTCCATTACCCACGCTGCACGGTGTACACTGCGGAACCTTCTAACCATTAATGCCGAAGCCAAGCTGTTTGGGGTGCCTGCATCCAGCTGGGGCCCAGCCACACCTCTCGTGCGTGCAGGGCACAGAGTTATTGGTACAAAGGCTGCCGTGCTTGGCATTTACTGGTTCTGAGATTACGGGCTCAGCATTTGCTTCCAGGGTCCGACAAAGGAAGCTCAACATTTGCGGGACTCGGGTGCAGGACCTTGTGCCCTGTGCTGGCATCCGCACTTTGTCTTTATTGGGGGTTAATGGGGCTTCTTAGGGGTGGTGGCGGTGGAGGAGGGGTTGCGTTTGGAGTTGAGGCTGGAGGCTTGAGATACGCTTGAGGGTTGGTGGAGTTTGGGAGCCATGGCGCTTGGCAAACAAACAACCTGCCAAATTGACGAGGCTGGGTATCCAACTGCAGTGGCGTTTGGGCCTACAACGCTGTAGATGCATGGCACGTTCGACGCATACATTGTATGCTTGTAAGTCGTTGTTGCCTGAAGCCTGTTACATATCACTTGTTTCGGCTGTTGGGCGACCCAGTGTGAGATTTTCGTTGAAACACTACTTTACATCTGAAGCCTCTACATAATGCCGAAGAGGCGGACCTTCGGACCTACCCTCGCAGCGGCATGTGCACCAGCACGGAAGGGTCTGGGAGTAACTGGGACCCCCAGCACGGGAGCCTTCAGACCTACGACAGCTCCTTACAGAAATGCTCCTGAGTCAAAGGCTGTTTGCACCAGGAGCCGGACGCTTCCTGGAGCTGTGGTCTTGAAGCATGTCAGCTTGCGGAGGGTCAGGGACGGACTGTTGCTACATGGCAGCCTGGTTGGGTCGCGGATATGGGATTTGGTTGAGGTGCATTTAAACTTCAGAGTATGGTATGAAGCATCAAGTTGGTGAGAACATGCAGTCGATCAGCTCCACTTCAAGCAATACAAGCCCTAATTAAAACCCAACTCCAGACCCCAGAACCCTAGAGTACACTCATTTAAAACTCTTGAACAGCAAACCCCGAACCTTTCTTGTCCCAGCCCGCCTCGTGCGCGGATTGTGGGTGCGGCAGCTGCTGCCTGCGGCTCCGCGGCCTCTATGGCTGCGCACATCAATGTAGGGATGCACATAGGCCGGCTTGCTACACAAAGCAAGGGTGTTGCAGGCGCACCTGCATAGTGTGCATGGATCTGCAGGCCCTCTGCTCCGGTGCAGTGGGGGTGTTGGTAGGCAGCTTGGCATCTCCTTGCGCCTTTCACGGTCAAGAGCATTTGCTTCCTGTAGATTCTGTCACCATCAAGCAGTAGCAAACACGGAACAACAGACGTTGGGCATTTCTAGCGAATGTTCTCGACAACAGCATAGACATTGTGAAGTTATAGTGGATGTTCTTGACTGCGTCCTGTCTCGTTGCAGAGAATGTGGGCATCTCCACTTCCTCTAGCTTAGCTGCTGGCGAGCCAGGTGTCAGGGTCAAATGACCAGAGTACCATCCACAATCACACACCGACGGACAACCTATGCAGGTTCCACCCGCCATGCCATGTACAGGGCTTCGCAACGTATCCGCATCTGCTATTATGCTTATATGTACAGGTTTATCTTATACTCCTTCGCAAACTTAGTCGTTGTCGACATGCAGTAAACCCTACCCTCAGGCTCCCAAGTAGCCCCGAATGATTGGGTATATGGCTTGATTGTAGTAGCCGTTGTAGGTACTAAGTGGGAGGAGAAGGGGTGCTTGATGAATAGATATTCGGGCAAGTAGGGCTTAGGGTTTAGGGTAGGGTGGCTTGGCTAGCAAATGCGTGGCTTTTGCGGGAAAGTTCGATTCGTAAACAACCAAACGATGAGGGAAGTCAAGCAGGGCCATAACCTGCACTGTTTCCAAGCTTGCGTGATTTTGGAGCTGGAGGCTTTCCTAACATGCGTCTGTCGTTGCTGCGGTTTCGGATTCAAGGTTGCAAGCAATGGGCTTGATCACGCTCTGCAGAGCTGTATTGCAAGATGATGGGTAAGCAATCTTCTCCCGCTGCTAGCACCCTCGCGGTTCCCAGCACCCGCGACAGCGGCGAAAGTCAGAATTGGGCACACCAGACCTTCCGTCGTTACATAACTGCTAGAGAGCTGGAAGTTCGAAGCACAAGCGAACCTTCCACTACCTAATGGCACAATACGAGTTGGCGGGCCAAGCTCGGAAATTAAGATGGGCTGCAACGATACGTGTTACGGGTTTGAACATACCTGAACCGAACTCCGTACCTTTGATCACGGCATACCACTGAAAGCTGAGTCTGCAAATGTGAAGCCTCCACCCCGGGCTGTGAATATGAACTTTCGAAACATAGAGTGCTTGGGAGTTGTAATGGTGGTCAGGTTGTAGGGTCAACCGAACCAGAGTGCTGCACCTGCCGGAGCAACGTCGGCAGGTGGTCCTGCTGCTCCTGGGAAAACAAGCCGGCAAAATCACGCTGATGTCTTCTTTCGTTTCTGTCCAACCCAACATATGCTTTCCAAGTGTCATCTTGATACTTGAAACTCAAATACGGAGACCCCGAGCACTGCAACCTTGGACTCCGAATGAGCCTCGGGCCTTCATATATATATATATATATATATATATGTACACATACGTATATATATATATATATATACACATGTTTTACCTTTACATATGCACACACACATATATATATATATATATGTATACGTATGTATATATATATATATATGGTCGAGTTCCATACCAAATTCCGGTTCGGTTCAAGGCTGAAGATTTGCGAGTTGTAAATCTCGGCAATGGTTGAGGGGACTTCTGTGAATAACTTCACATGCTGCGGACACCAACAGCCTCAGTGTCAAGTTCTGCGCGCGAGGTCGATATCCCAACATCTTTCAGCCTCCATCCCTGAAACAAGACAGACTGGTGATGAGCTTCTCTCCCAATCGCTCATGTTTGGCAATCCCCTGCGATTTCCTATCGCTGAAACATGGGGCGAGATGGAGATCCGAAAGAGAAAAAACAATTCCTAAGCAGCGTTTTCCCAAAAGGTCGTGAGGACTCAAACTCGCAAAACTTGAGAGTACAGCATCACAACTCAGACAGCTCAGCCCCTTCAAAGCCCAAGGCTGACAAGGCGTCATGCAGCATCCATGTGAAGACCCGTCGTCACTGTTGGATGTTCCAAGTAGGATCTTGCAAGTGGTTCGGCGATTTGGGTTACGGCTTTTACATGATTGAAGCCTCGTTTACAATCTCTGAAACATGTCCGATGGTCAAACAACCGAGTGAGCTGACAAGCCTTCACGGGGAACCAATCAAAGCACCCTAAACCCCGAAACCTTGAGCTTTATACCCGCATTGTATGCAATGTCATGCTTTGCCTTGTTCACGGCCAACCTTAGCTTCTCTTCCTTCTTGTTTTTTGGTGCCTTCAGATACAGCAATGCTCATGAACGTGAGAGCCCGGCTCGTGTTGAGTGGGAGAATGGCGAAATAAGTGGTGTGAACGTGCCCGACCTAAAGATGGCGACGAGGATAATGATGATGAGATGATGACGATGACGGTGGTGAGAAGCAGACGGAGGAGGATGCTGATGATGCTCAAGAAGCAGATGAACATAGCGCTGCTGAGAATGATGCTCCTGATGATGCTGATGGTCTGAACGGAAGAAGAAAACATAATGGCGCTTCTGATGGTGATGACCGTGATGAAGGTGATGCTCACCATGGTGCAGGTGACAACAGTCATGATGATTGTAGCATGTTGATGATTGGGCTAAGCAGGACGATGCTGTTGATGATGCTGGTGGTGTTGATGATGCGGATGGTGATGATGATGATGGCGATGGTGCTGAGGATAGCGGGGCCAGAATCCCGCATCTTGTGCAACTTGGAAAGCCATCGCTCAAGCTTGGGGAATCTCCTAGGCGCGATAAAACCCTGACCCCGAAACGAAGGCTGATTGCCGGGATTGAAGTGCTCCAGGGTTGAACCTGATTTTCTAATGCTTCAGGCTGTAGGTGTGAGCTTTTGCCTCTAAAGGGGCTCCCGGGCCTGAAGATGAGGGAAGCATCGACCTTTGCTGTCCTGATCCTACTTAGGGTTCCACCCGAAGCAGGGAACCGTTAGCAGCTAGCAGCTAGCCCTGGACAAACATCACCTCGCGCATGTCGGCAACTCATGATTGAATGCAGCCTTCGTCGCGAATTCACCCGATGCCCATAGACACTTGGCCTGCTTTCTTCGTCTTTCTTCTGCCTCTGCTTTGCGCTTCTCTTCCTTCTTCTTAGCAATCTCCGCCTTCCTGGCCTGTGCCTCCAACTTCTTTTTTTCCTTCTGTGCCTTGCGCTTAGCCACTTCCTCCTGCAAGCGAGCCTTCTCTCGATCCGTGGAGGACATCATCATGCCTTTGATACGGCTTCAGCATGGGTTCCCTACATGACAAACCATTGTCGACCTATACCCAAAAGGAAGACCCCTAAACCTCACATCTTCTGAGACCGCCCATGCTTGATGCAGTCTGCCATGTCCAAGCAGCTCCAAACTTCTGCCCCATGCACCGAAAACGCTAATTGTCTAAACCTCTCCTTGTCTCTTCTTGCTGTTCTGGATACTCCGGCCAATGTCTGTAGCACTTGCCTAGAAAAGCATTTTCTCTTGCACCCGACACAAGTAACGCTAGCTAACTCTAACCTACTGGTTGGAAAGGACTCAAACCGAATTATTGCATTGCAGGTATGTATGTGTATACATGTGCATGCACATGTATCTGTATATGTGTCTGTGAATTTGTACTGGTATGTGTCTGTGTCTGTGTCTTGGCCTGTGTATGTGTATGTGCGTGTGTGCATATGTGTATATGTATATGTGTATGTGTATGTGTGTATGTGAAGGTGTATGTGTATGTGTAGTTTATGTGTACTTGTATGCGAATATGTACGTGTGTGTATGTGTGCCTGTGCACAATGTATGTGTTCATGTAGGTGTACAGGTGTATGTGTATGTCTATGTGCATGTGCATATGTTGTGCACGTGTATATATGAACTTGTGCACGACGTACGTGTTCGTGTAGGTGTATGTGTATGTCTATATACGTGTATGTGTATAGGTTTGTGCGGGGTAAGTGTACGTGTGCACGACGTACGTGTTCGTGTAGGTGTACATGTATGTGTATGTCTATGGGTACGTGTATATGTTTGCGCATTTGTATGTGTACGTTTATGTATGTCTACATACATGTACACAAATTTCTACGTACGCATGTATGTATGTAACAATGTAAGTCTGTCCGGTGTGTCTGTCTGTCTGTCTTTTGTTTTGTGTTGTCGTCTTCTATGTGTGTGTGTGCCTGTGTTTGCTTGTTTGTTTGTTTGTTTGTTTGTTTTTGTATGTGGTTGTCTGCTCGTGTGTTTGTTTGGTTGCTTGCTTGTTTGTTAGCATGTGTATATAAGCTATCTATCTATCTATCTATTTATCTATCTATCTATCTATATATCTATCTATCTATGTGTGTGTGTGTTTGTTTGATTGTTTGTTTGATGCTACTGTCGTTTATGTGCTGATGTGGTTACTCACGTGTTTACTTCTTGCTTCCATAACTGTGCCTGCATGTACTCGTTGTTCTCTATCGTTGAGCTTCTCTGCTTGTCTAGCCGCTTGTCTTTGTCTTCAGGAATTGCGTAATCAATTACATAGGATTGTAGGTGCGCAGGGGCTCGCTGTCCATTGCGATATTCAGTTCTGTATTCTGTGCGTGGCACATGCTTCTCGGCAAATTTCTTTGGCAGTTCACAAAGTAGTCACACGCTGTACATACATGTGCCGTAGACGCGACAAAGCTAGAATCCAAACGCAAAACCTTGTGACAACCCTAAACACAACGACCATAAGTCCACCACCCTATTGTCCAGGCTTCGCGAAGCTTCAGGCTTGTAGCCTAGGGCTTCAACTTCTTGCATGTAGGTTTATTGGAGTGTAGAGACCATACATCGGCCCGGAATCTCCAAGCATCGTAAGGGAAAGAATGCAACATCCAGAAACGACTCCAAGTTTCGAGGCGCTAATTTCCTAAGCGTCTTCATGAAGCCTCAGCCATGTGCTGGCTAGACCGAAGCCGACCGAGCACCCTTTAGATTCAACTTACAGAGAGCCACTAAGAGAGCTCCCGGAAATGTAAAGACTAGCACACGCCTTGGAGGCCCCACGACACGCTCAAAGCCAGCTGCACCCAAGGCTCCAATACAAATGTCAGCAAGTCCTTCAGGGACAGACGAGTAAAGATGGGTGCGGATCTGTAGGGGGGGCAGGAGTTGGGCGAGGTTGAGTTCTACCTTGCTAAAGTTATCCACAGCCCACAGCATGCATGAGCTATTGCAGCAGCGACCTTTGCGCTCCGCCGCGAATTAAAGGCTGCAGGAGCTTGGGTTTTGGAGGTATGGTGCATGCAATGGAACGAAGCTTATGGGATTCAATGATTGCGCTTTTGGGCTGAAGGTTCAGGGTTCAGGGTTTCGGATCTCGTGTGTAGGCTCGTGGGTTCAGGGCTGGCTCACCAAGATTAAAGATGAGGGTTGGAGCTTTGGTACATAAGGTTGAAGATTCGGTAAGGTTTTGGTTTGGGAGTATTGATTGTTGTGGGGTGTGAAACATCGGGATTTGAATTACCCCGTCGCTGCAGCCCAGCCGGCGCAAAGCGCACGTGAAGGGCGCGCGCGAATCCCAGCTCCTTTTGCTCCGCAGTCAATTGCTTCCACCTCAGGTGCCAGCTCTACATTGCTTGCAATTTCATTTGCGGACACAAACACTCATACCAATCAGAATGCAATCTTGCTAGATATAGACAGAGCGTTCCGAATGTGCAGCGCAAGTAAGATTGGGCCCATGTCTTCCAATGTGTCAACTTCAGCATCCAATCCACGAAATCAGGACTGAAATTTCCTCATCCATTGTAGCCCTGCCCGAAAACGGATCACCCTGCAGGCGGCCCAGTCAGAAGAAGAGAGGAAGTCAAGCCAGGGGAGTATGATTTATTGCTCCTGAGATCCCGCTCTTCGAAGCTTTCCCAACATGTCGACATCGGGCTTAGGCCGCCAAATCGATCCCAGCGCTCTGGCGAAAATCCTGTAATGACCCCAGATACAAGCCCCGGCTCATTTACAGGCAAGGGCACCAGCGCAATGCCAAGAGCGAGGCGACCATCGAGCCAAACGGCAGACAGCGTCAAGTGAGCACTAAAACTTGGACAAGTGCATGCCTGGTCCTGAGAACCATGAACCCATCACTCTTTGACCCCTGCATTGTAAGATGTGAATGCGATGTGCCTGTACAAACCGAAGCTGCTGATTTTACACAAAACGATGTCATCAAATATCACAGCTTGGTACACAATCGGTCGGGTCGCTCATTCACTGTACATAAATGTACATATATATATATATATACACACATGTACCTACATACGTTTATTTAAATGCATATATACATACTTGCACCCACACACAAACTGTGTGCAAACAACTGGATAACTTGGTAAAAGTCCGAATTTCCTCAAGGCCACTTGTCAATCAACCTTTTGTATATACTGTAGCTGGCAGTTTGCACAAACTAAACTTGTCATGATGCATGTGTTTACTGTGTACTCGCCTGTACATACACACAAACCCCCACACACACGCACACATATATACATATATACATGTATATATATATATATACATACATAACTCATAGAAGAAATAAGCTTATGTATGCGTACAGGTTCATATGCATCGCATACACATGCATACATACACAGACAACCCAGTACGCGATAATTCATGGAAAAGTTTCAGCATTCCACTCCGGGATGGTTGAACCTGATTAGCGCCCTGTATCAATACCTTGAACCCCAGTGATATGCAACACAAACTCAACCGGACAGGTGCGGCATACATTGCCGGTACACTACGTATGAACTGCTGTGACAATACACCGCAAAAAATGCAGGTATAACAGACACATATACCAGCACCCTGGATCAGAGTGTGCACAGGTTTGTACTTGTCTGCTCAGAAGCGAGTAACTGAACCATACACCTGAACCAGCACAGAATTGCATCAAGAGTTTGTACACGTTTATGTTTATGTGAATGTATATGTATATGTACATGTATATGTGTATGTACATGTACATGTACATGTATATGCATATGTATATGTACATCTAAATGTGTATGTATCTGTGAATGTACATGTACATGCATTTGTATATGTAGGTGTATGTATTTATGTGTAACTTTTATGTCAGTAGTTCGTTGACTCAGTATGTATGTGCCTGTATACACTCTGTATATCCATATACACATATACATATGCATACATCGGCATTAGGGGGGCACAGTGGGCCTGTATATCCCTGAAAAACGCGAATCCTCGGCTTCCGCACATCCTCCTTCAAGCCGCTAAGCTGACAAGTTCATGTAACCCGTGGGGCACTGCTAGTTCTCGCTCCATGTAATCATCTCTTCGAAATGGCTCCAAGCCATGAACCGTTTTCATCTAAGATCCGACTAGGAAACCCGACACCTGCAATCGCCGTACGAATGGGGCCCGGGCAAAGGACTGCGAAGGGGCTGGGCCGGGGAGGTATGCAACCTGATTGTTGGATGAACATTTCCGAGATATCCACGTCAGTGGAGGCTGGAGGCTGACATTCGGCTTAGGGTTTCGTAGTGGGTCTTAGTGTGTGGGTTGTAGGCTGTTGGGTTTGCATGGCCGTGGTGCCCATGCTGCTGCTGACACTAGAATGGAGAAGGTCAAGTTGAGTGTGGTGATGCTGATGGCGATGGTGAAGCTGGACATTGCATGATCCAATGATAGTGCGAATAAGAAGCACGGGTGTGTGTGTGTGTGAGAGAGAGAGAGAGAGAGAGCGAGAGAGAGAGCCTTGATTGTACACACACACACAAAAACACACAAACACACACAAACACACACAACCACACACAAACACACACACACACACACACACACACACACACACAAATACACACAAACACACACAAACACACACAAACACACACAAACACACACAAACACACACAACCACACACAAACACACACAAATACACACAAACACACACACAACCACAAACAAACACACCCACAAACACACACAAATACACACAAACACACACAAACACACACAAACACACACAAACACACACAAACACACGCAAACACACACACACACACAAACACACACACACACGCACAAACACACACACACACACACACACACACACACACACACACACACACACACACACACACACACACACACACACACACACACACACACCGCACCGCTTACAACCCCAGATGCCAAAATGGATGGCTTTTATCGGGGTTTACGATTGGGGTTTCGG